ATGCTTACAAGAAAATAGCTATTCAGGAAAGTCATGCTCGGGAAAATTTTTCTTCAAAATTTTTAAAATTTTTTCAGTAATTTGTGAAATTAACTAAAAAATATTGCGTTTTCATTTCCAGTCATATTTCAGTGCGGCACATCAGTCTGGCTCAGATATCATCCCAAATTGAAATTACAAAAACTAATTGGTTGAAATAGGGCGCGAATAGATGCAAAACATATCTTCTCCAAATTGACTTGAGATGTAGGAGAAATCTTTTAAAACGAAAGGAAAAACTCATGCGATTATCAAAAAATTTGTTTCTGATTTAAAAAAATTATGTAGGCTGATTGAAACCTCAAAAATGAGTTTTGCCGTTGAATTTTACAAAAAAAAAGATAACAGATTATGTCTCTTACATGTCTTTTTGTCGAAACTAAACTTAAATCTTCCGATAAACGAGTCTGCAATAAAAAATTTGATGAAAAAGAAAATTGGTTTCTTCCATCCTAAATCTCTCATTTGCATTATGACTGAGAGGAGATTAACAGGCGGATTGTTTATTTTTATGGCTGTCAATCGGTCTAAACTCTCCCGTCATTCGTTGGCAATAAAACTACACAGCCTCCAGGGAATCTGTTTCCAATTTTTTCCGGCCCCGTCAATTAAAAGGTGTTTTACACCGGAAGGAACCAGTCGATTTTAAACGATTTCAGGTCGCTATTATGTAATAAAGAGTATACGAGTAAATGAAAAAAGATTTCCACCCTTCTTTTTTGAAATCACTCATATTCTGTTCAGTTATCTCAATCTCTGGCAAAGAACAAAAAAGCCCAGCGTGATACTGTGGATTTAAAATTCGGAACAAAAAATTTTGCAGAAAAACTGTTAATAAGCTTCGTTAAAAGATTTGAACCAGTTTCGATTACAACAATTCAATCTCGGCAGAATTGTAGCTCTGTATGACGCACACATCGGCGGTTTAATCTAGACACCAGGTAATTTTCTATCACGTTTTACCTTTAAAAAAAAACAGTTTTTTATTCAAAAACCCAAGTTTTTCTTCTTTTTATACACGGCGGCGTGTCTGCAAACAAGCTATTGAATTTTGCTGAATGATTGTCTGATTGTCAGTGTTTTTCAATTTAAATGTATCGACGCAGTTTTAGATAATGCCGTTACTACCCGTTGTAAGTATAGGAATGTGTGAAACTTTGGCGCTGCTTTTGTCCTGGTTAGAGAATTATACTACCGCAAAATTACACCGAACGCGCTTTATTTATTGAAACTTCATTTCCGGTTTTAGAAAATACTTTTTTGACTGTTTTCAGTTTTACGATTAGTAGTAGAATTAAAAAAGATAAACCGATTTTGCTCGAACTGAAATAAATGCAAGCTTTGCATATTTTTGAATAAATAACTAGTAATGCAATTAAACCTGTTGAAAAAACTTAAGAACCCAGGAATTAAAATATTGCTCAGTCTTTTTGGCGAAATGGTAAATTTTATAAAGTAGTTAATTCTTTCGGCATTTTCAAGCTCAACTGAAATCAATTCCCCAATTCCCAAAGCACCGTTGGGCCCACTTTAACCTTATTGAAAAACTTCAGATTTCTTTTTGTACTTGATAAAAACATCTACTTAGATTAATTTTCAAAATAAAACTGACGCCAGAATTTTCCAGAGCACCGTTTTTTATACGCGTGGGTCATCCGGAAAGAGTTTACTTAGATAATTCTGGTCTCAATTTGAAAGATTTTCAGTTAGATCTGTCGCGAGATATCTGCCAATTGTTTTCTGTGAAATCTCAAGGGACCTTTTAGAATTCTTTAACTACAAGTTGAACTCAACTTGAGAATATTTTTTGCTCTGCTCATTCGTCATTACCCCTATAGCCCACTGATGAACGTCTTTTGACCCGATAAAAATTTACTACCCTAACTACTTTCTGGACGTGGTCAATATCTGGCCATTACCGATTTGGGAGTAAATTGTATTATTACACATCCATCGTCTTGTCAACCATCCATTTCATATTTCAACGAGCAGCTTTTATCGATTTAGGGCTAAATTTTATAGTCTATTTACATACCATTACATTTGAAACAGGGCAAGCATTTTTCGTACGAAATAAATCATTTAGCGCAAAAATGACAGTTATTCATTTTTTTACAAACGCTACCTTTTTTGCAATGAAAATCCCAAAAGAAAGTATTTGATGGAAGGTAAAAATTTTTCATTAGTTAATTTAGATCATTGATTAAATTGCTTTTACCTCTTCCGTTAATTTCACTAACTAATTTATTTTGTGGTCATCTTGGAAACTCGCAAACATAGGGAAGTGTGAGTAAATTCACTTTCAAAATTGAGCTTTACTTTGTCCAGGCACGTAAAAAAATGCTTTCAGATACTTTTGCTAGCAAAAATTGAGACAAGCGAAAGAAAAGATTTTTTTTCTCGAAACCTAGACGTAATTTTTTTTTGAAACATTTTATGGTACATTTGAATGCACTCTACAGAAGTCCGACCAAAAATTATCTTTTGAGTGTGCTTAAAAATTCAGAAAATTAAAAATTTCAATTTAAACCTTGGTCGGAACTCTTGAACAAAGTTCAACAATAATCGAGTTATTTAATGAGCTATTTTTGAATAAAAACAAGAGAAGGGAGAAGAAACTTAAGCTTAATCAAGAAAAGCTTATTGCTACCCCGGTTACGTAATTTTTTGAAAGATTAATCTACGAATGAAAAAGTTCATGCCACTGAGAAAAATGTTTGACCATGGGATATTCTGAAATTTTTAAAATGCAAACTTTCACTATTCTCTGAAGTAGACTAAATTGAAACTGTCAAGAAAAAGTCTACCCTGACCAGGGTTGAACTCACTGCAAAATTTACAATCAGTTCAATCAGTATAAAGTCTTATGTTTGTATATAGGCAATGTATCAATGATTTGATTGTTCGTGAGATTTTTAATTAAACAAAACTTGTTTCATCCAGGTTAACAATGGCTTGAGCAACAATCGCCTCAGAAGAGTTTTTATACTTCAAACCATAAGTTTCGTGTGAATCCCTTTAATTTTTTTGCAATATAGTTTAATTTCACATGTTAGCGTTCTCGAGGTTCGAAGAAACGAAACTTTAGAAACTATTTTTTGCTACGAAACTAGGTTTTTGCTACGAAACATTCCCATTTCAGCTACTCTTATACCTTTTTTCCTGTGAAAGATCATCACATTGTAATATGTGGTTAGCATTAGTTAGTTTTTAATGAGATTTTTTGTCAAAATGAGCATGGAAAAAACCCTTACATCCCAGCGGACAATCATCCTTAAAAACCCTTGCTAATTGATTGTCCGCTAAATATGAATTCCTGAACAATAATGAAGCATCGCTGAAACAATGAGCCATCAACTGATGCAGCAATCAAACTAAGACATCAATAATTCAGCGATGCTGATCTATCTAAGTACAACCCAGGGTACGCCACAAATCCTTGCTACTCTACAAAATTAAAAAAATCGCGTCAAGAAAATTGGTTTATTCTTTCGATTTTTCGTCTAATTTCGAGCTATTTTCGAGCTAATAAGGCAAGCGTGTAGGCTTACAATAGCTTATTTATGCTTATTTTAAGCCATGAAAAATTAGTTTTTCTCAACTAAAGTTAGTAACCGGCTACCCTTTTTGTTTCTCTGAGAAGTTTAGCCTGTATTAGATTTGAGAATAATTTAAAAGTATTGGGTAGTCTTTCAAATTATTTACCAAAAAATTGAATGAGTTCCATGAGTCTTATAAAGTATTTGGAATTTTAATCTCACAATTTTGCTAGCTTATCAAATGGTTAAAACTTTAGACAAATGCGTTGCAGTTCGTTTCTTGCGTTTTTGGGTTGAGATTGCGAAAGGTAATGTTCAAACAAATCAAAAACTGTGTCTTGGTGACTGATTATAAGTTTTTCCAGTCTAAATTTTGATTTTTAACTTAAGACTAAAAATTAGTGATGGCCAAGTCTTTTTTTTGGTTCGCAAGTATGCTTTTTATCTTTTAGTAGTCACATAACATTTGATCTAAAAGAACAATTGCTTTAATATAAAAAAAATGATTAGAGGGCAAAAATTATAAAATTCATCTAGATCATATTAAAACACAAACTTTTAAAGCGTTGAGTTTTTGTTCTGAGTGTTTTTGCAAAAACTAATCGCTTTTAGTTTGAAGTTTTTCACAGAAAATAAAATATTATTCATAGATTAGGTATAGAAGAAATGTAAGAATGTAAGGAGCAGTCACAAAAAGCAATCAGGGTAGCAGATTGCTGTGCAAGTAGCACACAATGTTTCGTCGACCACATTCGTAAAATACTACAAAAAAAAGTTTATCTTCAAATTAGGGTCGCTTTTTTGCGTGTTGTGCTAAAAGAACAATACAAACAGGTAAAAAAATAGTGCATTAGGCATAAAGCACTACAATTGTCTACAATAATTGAAAAAATGAAGTAGAAAAATATAAACAAAAACCTCTAAAATTTATCCTAAGTTTTTGCACTTAAAGTTTTAAATTCTATGAAAACTTTTATGGCAAAGAAAGTGCTTAATTAAGCTTCCAAAACTAGTTTTCTTTTTATTACAAGCAAGTTTTTTTGCCTAAGTGGTCATCCTTAAAAAATTAAACACATCCGAATACAAAGTTCCTCCACATTTTTTAAATGGTCGGAACAATGAGACATATTATAAAAACAAACAGATGAGAGAACTAACTAAATGATTACCGATATCAACAAACGAAAAGCTGGTCGTTTTCTGCGAGTAGCCCAATATGTTCCGCGCACAGTAATCATTGCAATAAAAACTATGGGCAACAAACAAAAATGAAGACTCAATTTTCTCTAAAGTTTTTTTATTAAATATTTTTTTGGAGGAACGAGATTGAAATAAAGTTCAAAAGTTGGGTGTAATTTTCAAATGTGATTTTGCGTGATTTTATTCAAAAAAAAGTGAAGATAGAAAAATAAAATAATCTTATCTAATTGCACAAAATAACTTGCGTCCTATTGTTGCTACTTATTTTTAATCTTACATAAATAAGTTTTCTTAGTTCACCTGAAATTAAAATATTTTCTACTCGCGCACGAGACACCTGGAAACAACGACACGTTTCAAGACAACGACCATACTAATTGTAATCTGGCTCATAAAGTTTTTTATATTCCGTGTTTGTGTAGTTGAGCACTTGATCATGTTCCCGCTGCGTCTGGTCAGTGGCATCTCCCAGATCACTGGAACTGGGGACGGGGACTTCGTGGACAGACTCAACCACAGATACACTCCCATTGTGCTCATCGTTTTCGCTATATTGGTGAGTAATTTTTTCTTCAAACAATTTGATCATCAAGTGTTTTTGAGGATCTATTACCGTTTTTTACTTGATAACCAATTCAATGGGTTAGCTATAGTTTAATTATCTTTTTAATTAACGTATTCTATTTTTTCGTTGAGAATTTTTTTTCGAATTATCTTCAGACTTATCAGCCCCATATCAAAAAAGGAGATCAAAGAAATTATGACACGCTGAGGGTTTAAATAGGCTTTACAAAAACCAGAGCACAGCCACTGCATCACAACGAAATTTTTCTCTTAACAAGTAGAAATTTTTTCTGATGCATGGCTAATAACCTTACTCACTTCTAATTTTCAATTGACAATTAGTACAAAAGTTCATTTTGGACCATTTTAACAAGCTTAATTGCACATTTCAGACGACGACTAAACAGTACGTGGGTGAACCGATTCAGTGTTGGGCTCCAAATCACTTCTCCCATGCATGGATCGAATACACAAACCACGTAAAACCTGTTATTTTTAGTCTTTTTATTTAATCGTCTTATCCCAATTACCATTTGTCAGTGAATTTAAATATGCTTTTTTTGTTTTCAAAAAGAAAAGTTCAAAGGGTAAAGTGCAAAGAAAAGTTCAGAGTGAAAACTGTCAAAAGTATGCAAAGTAACCATTGCTGGTCGTTTAAAAGATAATGCAACCAACTTTCGATTTTTTTTTATTATAGATTTTGGTATATTTTCTAGAGTTCCGAGTTTTAAGGGCCATGGCTGAGGGTCTTTAAGAAGTAAGAGTATCCGGGTAGTTATACCCATGATTTGACCAGATTTATGATCCTTTTTAAAGATTTGCTGGGTGTCCAACACTTACTTCCTCCCCCTCAACACCCCCTACATCAGACAAGACACCCCCGAGAAACAGGGCTCATACGTGACCTACTACCAGTGGGTGCCTCTGGCCCTGGCTGCCATGTCCCTCCTGTTCTACATGCCGCGCAAACTGTGGCGCACTGCTGGAAAGAGGAGTGGCCTGGATATTGACAACATAGTGGTGACTGCGACCACATTCGAGAATGCAGTCAGCTCTGAAGTGAGAGACAAGACGATAGAACACATTGCCAAACATCTCGACAGGTATGAAGACTCTATGTCAGAAATATCGGAACACCCCCCCCCCCCCCCCCCCAGTCCCCACACCACTTCGACTATTAGAAAAAAAAGTACTGAAATTATGACCAAGTGAACAATATCCCCCTAAATCAATGGGGGGTCCAAACTCTCATATGGAGTAAAAAAACAGATAAATTTTACAAAAAAAACTAGTTTTGAAGCCAAAGATGGATACAAGGGATCGACTTAACAATTCCCCTTTCTTGATTGTTAAATAGATTACTTGCAGCGACTTTTGACCAATCAGTATGCAGCAAAAATCGAACTTATATATAACACTCTAGTGCGAATTTACTGTTTTTATTTAAAGGGGTGGAGATTTTTTAGTAGATACAATAAGGGGGGATTGTTAAGTAGATCCAAAATAAGTAAGCATGTGGTTGACAACTTAACACTTCAGTCTAATTTTTTTTATTTTTAGATGATTCAAAAAATTTGCACGCCAAAAGTTTGCTTTTAATTTATCCTACTAAGGTAATTAAGTTTTATTAATTATGCCATAAAAGTTCAAGTATTCATTTTTGGTTCAGGTACTTGGGCAGTCAACGTGAATACCGACGAGGCTGCTGGCCCAAGTGCAAACAGATGGTCTGCGTCACGTGTAACAGACGCAACGGGACCTACCTCGGGCTTTTCTACCTATTCTCAAAGTTCATCTACATCTTCAACGGGATTGTCCAACTAGTCGCGCTAAACGAATTCCTCGGAGACCGCTATTCCTTATATGGTTTGGCAGCGCTGCTGGATTTTATAAATGGCGTAACGTGGCAAACTTCGAGAAGATTTCCACGAATAACGATGTGTGACTTCAGCATCCGAGTCATGGGTCATAACGTTCATGATTACACTGTTCAGTGTGTACTACCTGTGAATTTGTTCAATGAGATGATTTTCTTCTTTGTCTGGTGGTGGCTCGTTATAATCACTATCTGCACGTGTATTAACTTCGTAGAATGGGCGTTCAAACTAATTTTCGCAGTCGATAGGATTCTGTATATCAAGAAACATTTGAAGTTCATGGACCGCTACGACAGATCCGAACATCGGAAGCTCCTCGCGATGTTTGTTAACCATTACTTGAAACCCGACGGCGTCTTCATCATTCGGCTGCTGGCGAAGAACACGAACACTCTGATGACGTCGGAACTCGTGGCGAAGTTGTGGGATAACTATAAGGAAAAACATACCGAGAGGTTACCCGAGCTGACGAAAACTTCTCTGAATCCGTCGGCGGAGAGTACTTGTTCACGCAAGCATATGAACCACCTGCATCACACGACAAACATGCAGCCGTTTCACTTGGAGGTGAGATGCAGAAATGTTAGTTTACAACATTAATACTTGTTGATCAAACACCGATAATTAGTTTATCTTAACCACGAGGTATTGATGGCCATAAAACCAGAGAAGCTTAATCCATAATTATTTTTTGAACGTTTAGAAATCTAAAATCTTATTGGCTTCTAAAATTAAAATAAATATTGAAGCCTGGTCAAAACTGAGCGTCTAACAATTACAGTTATTGACAATGAACGAAAATTGTTTTTTTTTGTAAAAAGTTTTTTTTTACCTTTTCAGCCGAACGACACCAATTGGTACGAGCCTCGATTCAAACCAGAAGCTCCGCCGAACATACCACCGCCCATGTTTCTAGCGGGGAGCCCGGAAAGCATGATCAAGGTACTCTAAATTCTACATATTCACTGCACTCTTACATTTCATTGAGCTCCTGAGTAGTCGAAGATTTCAGAGCCTCACGAGATACCTGCAAGATGGCAGGAAAAGATACACCAATCATGATTTTTTGAGATCTATCTTATCAGGTTTTTATTTCTTTAGTTAGATTTTGAACATTCCTTTTTAGGGTCCTGAGATCCAGCAATCCTAGATGTCAATTACTTGTGTAGATTCCTCTTGTCTTCTCAATCCTATTGTATAGTTTTACGAAATAGTTTTTGTATAATCACAAAAAAACTCATTTATATAATTGACCATCTGTGATGAACACAATTTTATTTAGTTTTGATGTCAAAAATTTTTTCCTAAATTTGATTTGTAACTGAATTTAAAATGCTTCGATGATTTGAGTGTATATATTTTTGGGTAACATCATTTTCAATTGAGTTTTAATTATTTCCGTTTTTCGCAAAGTAAGAACAGTTTTGCTTTGTCTTCTTCATAAAATTTCGCCCTGAAATTTGTTGCCTGCGACAATAAAAATGATGCCAGGTGATCCATCTCGTTGAATTTTACGATTCATAAACATGGATCCATTTTTGTGCAGACATCTGCGCTATTTCAAAATTCCAAACAGTGATCCTTTTCCAATTGTTCCAAGCGTTTTGGTTACTTGTTTTTATTGTACCCAGTGTCGATGTCTGAATAAGAAAACCATCGTCGGCGACCATTGGCAACCAAAGCAAATGCAAAATAACGAAAAACCAAAAAAGGAATAAATATAAATTTATTTATTTGGTCACGGTTACAATAGCAAAAGCCTTAGTGACTTGTTCAGAAAAGCAAATTTAATTACAATGGGCGCGTCTACAAGCTCAAGAAAAAATTTACAAAACTCTTCCGAAACTTCAACTGATAAAGATAAAAAAGATTCAAATATTATCGACGAGAAACGCGATGACAAGGCAACGGAGCCGATTACAGACGACGTATCTGACGTTGAGTTCGTATCCAATCACAATCGAGAAAAACCAAATAAGACGCCTAATGGACATCAAACAGTGGACGAAGACGCAGCTAGTGCAAATAAACATGCAAAAAACGACGCTACCTCTCAGCCGACAAGTGACCAAGTCGAAATTATTGGAGCTGTTGACGAATTTGAAACATACTCAAATCAGCCAGCGGACTCAGGAAACAAAAACGTGTTCCAAAAGTCATCTCAAAATATAAATTCAAAAAATTGTAGGCCTCAAAAACAAGGAAGTTTGCTTTCTGATGTCGAAAATCTGGAAGGTGAAGAGTCGCTAGAAGCAATTGAGTCAGCGAGGTCTGCCGAGCAGTCAAAAGCTGACGTCAATATTCTGCTAATCGGTCTTGTCGGCTCCGGGAAGACTACTTTGAAGAAACATATGCAGCTAAGTTTGGGCAAAGGGTACTCAATAGACGATCGCAAAGAGTACCGAAGGTTGATTCGCAGATACATTTTGCAACAGAGTTTAGAATTGGTTCTGGAAAATTGGTCTTATCTGAACAGCCTTGAGAGCGATGATCGAAAACCATTCACTCAATTCATGCAATATTGCATAAATAAAGAGATCAAAATAAGACCATATATTCCATTGTGTAATCATACACAAGAAGCTCTGAAGACGCTCTGGTCCGAAAAAAGGTTCCAAGAAATGTACCATAACAACCCAGTTTGGCGAGACACCTCTTTAGATCTGTTTTGCTCACGGTGCACAGAAATCGGAAACGATGGATATCTTCCAACTGATACGGACATCATTCGCTATTACGGATGTCTGGAAAAACACAAAACGCTCTACGTTGAGATCAATAAACCGAAGACCTTAACTGTCGAAGTTTCAGAGTTCCGACAGCCGAAATCCCAGCAGCTGAAATCATGCAATGCCGCAATGTTTTTTGTAGACATTAGTCAAATCGATACGGATCATCATAAGTGTTCGCTTAAAGCAGCGCTCAAAAGTTTCAACTCCGTTATCAATCAAAAAGAACTAGAAAACAAAACAGTGTTTTTGTTCTTCACAAAACAAGATGTGCTTGCGGCAAAATTGCACCAAATTGACCTCAAGTCTATCTTCCCCGGATTGAAAAAAGACGCGAGCTGTGATCAAGTTAGCAAACAAGTTCTGAAGATGTTTCAAGAAAGATGCGACGAAAGAAACATTCATCACTTTTTCATGAATGCTTTGGATTTTGGTAAATCCCAAGAAATTTTACAAGAAGTGTTCAAAATTGTACATTCTAATTTTAAATGAAGTAGCATCACAGTTGACATTAATTTAGAAAATATTTTGAAATTATCGTATATTTCACTTGGTGAAAAATGGTTTTCAAATTCAAGCTAGCAAAAAACAAATCTGTGCCAGCTATCCAGAATTTTTGTTGAAGTTAATTCGTAGCCCATTGAATTACATGGTTTCTCTTTTTTCTTGATATGTGTCGGGTTTCCATAAAATGTTGATCTGAAAAATTTTTGAGCGAGCCGAAATTAACCTATAAAAATGTTTGATATGTACTCTAATTTTTGCGCGTGGCCCCTGATTGGGTTAACCAACTTGAGCTTTAAATCTGTCTTTCAAAGATACTTGCATACCGTGCCCTAGTTTTCCGCAACGTTTTTTAGCCGTGAAAGCATTTTTAAGTTCAAGTTGATATCAAACTTGTTTTCAATCAAGGCAAAGTTCTGTAGATTAATAAACAATCGTAATAAATTTTTTCCAAGTTGTGCAATAGCCAAACAATATAGAAAATTGATCTTGGAAAGAGCACCAACTTGAGCAAGCGCAGAAAATAGTTCAACCTGTTGAAGCGCCGCTGAGAACTTTCTATTAAGGAATATCTTATATAGACCTGATTGTTTAATCTATGTAACATTGATCCAGAAAAGCACTTGCTTGGAACAAAATAGCACTTTGTTGTCTGATTTTTAGACATGTAAACAATATATTTTTTAAGTTGCTTAATTGCATCTTGAAAAAGTTGATAAATTTATTTTTGTGATCTGTCTTTTGAGGCCAATCTCTCCTTAATTGTTATATAACTTTGGACTGTTATGTTCTCGCAATGAAGGTTCTTGGATAATAATTGATTATAATCAATTTTTGTGGTCAAAATGTAGGCATTATAATCGATTATAGTTTCACTTTGAGACCACGCAACCGATTATAATCCAATATTTATAAGAAATCGGTGCTTAATCTGGATGCTTCCAGAGACCCATCTGAGGCTCTGATTCCACCCCGAAAATATAACTTTCCAGAAGTTGCTATTTTTCGAGAAAACGCCATTTTTTTTTTAATTTTGAAATTTAAGAAATACTTTTAGAAAAAATAAAAATAATAGATTTTTTCCTTTTCAAAAATCAGTGCTTAAGCTGGATGCTACCAGAGACCCGTCTGAGATTCTGATTCTACTCAAAAAATATGACCTTCCAGAAATTGCTGGTTTTCCAGAAAACGCCATTTTTGTAAAAAAAAAAATATGAAATTTTCCAATTACTTTAAAAAATATTTGCTGCTTAAATAACTATCTATATTTACACATTAACGTTCTATGTCTCAGTCAGTATATACTGGGTAGACATATAGTGGGTATCTTATTTTCCCTTAGCCTATCTTCTTCAGATAGTTCGTATGTTTACTAAAATTTAATTGCCTAAGTTGTTTGATTTTTTTTGTAAATGTATTTGTATGTCTGAAGAAATAAATTCTTTCTTTCTTTCTTTCTTTCTTTCTTTCTTTTTCCAAGTTTTCTGCAACATTTTTTAGCTGTTTCTGCATTGATCACAGCCTACTCGATTTATCCATCTGTTCACATTTAGTGAAAATTAGCAAAATCATACATTCGCACATACCCTCCCTCCCTTCACCTACCCAACCCTACCTACGCCACCCCTCCTACCCTCACCCCCACATAACCCCCACATACTTCCCACACCTACTCACACACAACTCCCTTCATCCCACACACCTACTTCACACGACACTTAAATTTTTGGGGGTTCATAAAAATCTGTAAGGTGAGGGGTTCTTAAAGGTGTGTGTGCGTTTTACGGGGGTAGGGGCACGCGTACGGTATTTTTCACGTATTCTTACAGTAAATGTAAGTAAGGGGTAATGGCGGGGAGGTGAGATGGTGGTAGTGGAGAAAAAAGAATGATGGGATCCTGTGTGAAGTATTATCGATTATATTAGATTTAATTTGATTTCTACTTTATTTGTTTTCTGATCGCTTAATAACCCATTAGAATCGATTTTTTTAAAGAATTTTAAGGAGACAGACCATGAAAATCCATTATAATTGATTCTTATCTATGGGACTTCTTTGCGGGTTGCTGTTTTTTGTTCCAACTTTTGTGAGAAAAATAGAGACTAGTTTTTTTTTGTTCAGACCAATTTCCAAAAGAATATTTCCTCACGGATACTAATATCTGGAACTTCTTGGTCCCCGCGGGTTGCATGCACAATTGAATAATTTAGAGTTTCATGCTGAATTTAGAATTATTGAATCGTGGAAAATCATCCCGCATTATCAAATCTTTCTAAATTGAATAAGGGCAAGCTAATTGGTCTTTTTGATATCACACACTACTCAATTTTTCACACTTAAAATTTAACTTTGACTGCATTAGTAGTTAGGCCATTATTTCGTTCATCATAAGTTTTTCGACACCAGTTGAAGTGCAGTCAACAAATATAGGGCTTTAGATAAGTTTCGCAGAAAGTATACTTGTATTGTTTCCAACACCAATAGTTGAAGGAAGTATTTACCAATGTTTGAGCTTTTTTTGCCCGCGTCGGCAAAATAAGAAGTTGTTTGTTTTTATTGACTGTGATATTTATAACAAAGTTCGGCTCTTTTTCCTCTTCCCCCCACCTGCAGTTTTTTAGTAGTAAATATACTGTTCACATTGACCGAACGTTAATTGAAAATTTACATGCGGACTAATTAGGCTATGCCAGACATATTTGGTCTTCATTCTAACTTTGTAAAACTACTCGTTACACCATAAAAATGATGGTGGTGTGAGGTAGGGGGGTGTAATTCAAGATATACAACTCAACAATTGCTTAGAAGTTCTTAGAAGATATTCTCCTATATGAGCGGTCATTGAAATGACTAACAAAGTTGCTCCTAATTTCTGGTAGATTAGGGTTTTTGCACTAGAAGAACCCTAATCTACCCCCAAAATAATTTTAAATTGAGGAAAAGACGGCGTTGAAGGCGTTTTATTCGCCAAAGTTGAGAAAACTATTGACAAAATTTTATACTGACAACAAAATAATAGATATCAAAAGCGTAAGCACTTTTTGTGAGTCTCACAAAAAATTCTGCTAGGATTAGGTATTTTTCATTAAACCACCAGATGAAAAAATTAT